TAATAATTATAAACTTATATAATTTATAATACTCTAAGTTAAGAAACTCATTAAAAATTTATTTTTTACAGCTTGTCGTCTTCTTTTGATTGGCAACAATTACGATAGCATTTACAAGTTTATCAGTCGAATGCCTCAGCGCGTCGCGAGCGTTGCGTACAAATGACTTAGGCAACGAACTTAATACGCACTCTACTTAATACACCACTGCGCCGTAAGCTACCACACAGAGAGTGAACTCAACACATGTTCGCTGCTGCAGCCCGACTCGCACACAACCCAAACACAAGTCGAGCTCGAACACGACGCAGCGACTCAAAGTTGAGCTCAGAGCCAGCTTCGTTGGGCGTTTGTTTTGCCGGCGTTGTTGGCAGCTGCTTGGCTGATAACCAAAGCACTGGGCAAATATCGAGACCGTTGTCTGGGCTGGCTATCGGTATTATGTTGCTGCGGCTGTTGTTGTTGCTGTTGCTGTTGCTGTTGCCGCAGTCGCTGTCGCTGTCGATGTTGTTGTCGCTGTTGGCGTTGGCGACGACGGCGCTGACGTTGACGCAGCCGCATTCAAGTCGGCAGGCAATTTGGTTTTGTGTGGCAGCAATGGGCTGCCGACTTCAGTTATTTGTTGGACATACGCCGTGGCGGTACAGCAAGCGGCTAACGGTTAACTGGGTGCTGAACGTTGAAGCGTGTTGAACAACAAACGCAGCATGCAACAAGTGCAGTGATTAAATTAAATTGAAAGCAAATTTATGAAAATTAGTGACAAACAGGTGTTAATTCGACATTTCCTAAACAGAACCAAATACAAAAGACTTAAGCAACAAACTTGCAAATAGATCTGTGGCCGCGTGTTTGAAGCCAGCAGCTAAAGTGCTGCACTTTGGCCAGTCAACAGGCTGCAAAAAATAATTAAGGCCAAGTCAAAATAAAAGTTTAAGAAATAAACGAAAAGTAAATAAGAAGAAAAACGCAAAACCATCATCAGAAACTGCGTGGGCTGTCGCAACGTTCCACTTTATCGTTCCGCCGGCCATAATTGGATTAATTCGCAGCTTTTGGTCTTTGCGTGCGAAAATCGACGCAAAAACGCATTTAAAGAAGTCATTAACAGTCACCACGATCGGCGGCCAAGTGGCAACGTACAACGTCAAGAAAATGATTTTAAGGTATGTTATATTCCCAGCCCCGCTCACCACAGATCGTAGTTGGTCAGTTGTGCAGATTTGTTTCCATTTGTGTGGCGCACTAATGAGTTGCATTTTCATGAATGGCTCATGTCGCTTTAGTACACACATATTTCAAGTTAATTTTGAAACGTGTGTGGCACAAATACTATAATCAAAGAAGTCGGCTCGTTTCGGGAATGCCTGTAATTTTATGTAATTTTTATGTGCCTACCTGTTAGGGTTATGACAACTTTCTGTTAAAAATTTTACCGTTTCTCTGCGCCGTGGCACTGGAAAGTTCTGTCCGGCCGGTGGAGAAATTTATATGCGTTCTGTTGACGCTGTTTAATAAACTTCTACCTTGGGCCATGTTTGTGTTTTGATTATCACATTTATATTCAGGTTGACGGTGTTTTTCGATTGTCTGCGGCCCAGTGAGTGGCCCATGCTCAAGTTGCTTGGCTTAATGAGTTCTATGAAAGGCTTAGAGTACCACATGATTTCTCTGGCTGTTGTCATTTCCCTTCCTCTTTATGTAACTAAGTACGTACATCCGCAGCTTGCTGGCTTCCGAAAACTTTCTACACATCTACACATCTTTTGTTTGTCACGCGCCAATCATGGCTCGGAGCGCACAAAACTAATGATATTGTTAGCGACCTACAGCCAAACAAATCATCGGAGACAGCCTCTAGGCAAGAGCTGAGCAGGCTTAGTTAATGAGCGTACAGGTCATGCTCTTGGCTTAGTGCTGCCCGCTGCTCGTTTCGTCATTCACACCTACTTGAATTGAGCTCAGCTCGACTATCGTTTCATTTAAAAAGCAATTAAGCAGCGCCAAAGGTGAAAGATAAGTCTGTAAGCCAGGCAAAACAATATGGGCTTACACGGAATTGAATACGCTCATGCATATGTTATTAGCTGAATTGTTAGCTTCGGGCGCATTGTCGCATAAATGCAAGGCGGTCGACTCGTCTGCCTTTGTGGGCGTGGCCAGGTCAGTTGCGAGTCAATGCTTGGTTGCGAATAGTTAAATATTCGTTTCTCTTTGCCATCGTTCGTTCTTTGGCTAACGGCATCTGGGCTCGCACCTAAGCCAACAGCTCAAGACTGGGCCAACAATAATTTACGGCAACAATATTGAGTTATCGCCTTGCTGTAAATTGTCAGTTGTTGGCCACGTTTGTGTCGATTTGCTGGGCGTTCCGACAGCATTCATAAAATAAAGCTATTACCAAGCGTGAATTAATAGAACAGACTATTAGCATTGGC